ATGTCTTTTTTAAATAAAATATAGAGAAAAGATCAGTAATATTGAAGACAAGCCATAATTTAAAAGAAATGGAAAAATATCAATTTTGTATGTTGCAAGAGAGGCAATTTGCAATATTTTACAACAGAAATCAACATAAGAGAAAGGGTGTTTACGGAAAACATGTATTTGGTGTCCATAAAAAAAAACTTGTACTGGGGCTTTACTAGTGCCTTCACCCAGCACAATGTATTACAATATTTTTGGTAAAATCAAATATTAGCATCAGCCTTTCAAAAACAATTTCTTAATCACATCGTCATCTGTGTATAAAAATTCTGATGTTCAATTATCTTTTTGGGTCCAAATATCTTTTTTGACAAGACTCTCATCCATTGTTACTAATCTTTCTTGTTAGATCAAACCTCTTCATCATGTCCTGCTGTATGGAATAGACTTTGCATTGTTTACCTCAATTCAAAGGTCATCTCTCTGATGAGGTATGTTTTCTCTGGTCCAGAGGTAGTCCAAGATTGCTCTGATGAGGTCTGTTTTCTCTGGTCCAGAGGTAGTCCGAGATTGCTCTGATGAGGTCTGTTTTCTCTGGTCCAGAGGTAGTCCGAGATTGCTCTGATGAGGTCTGTTTTCTCTGGTCCAGAGGTAGTCCTGATATTGCTCTGATGAGGTCTGTTTTCTCTGGTCCAGAGGTAGTCTGAGATTGCTCTGATGAGGTCTGTTTTCTCTGGTCCAGAGGTAGTCCGAGATTGCTCTGATGAGGTCTGTTTTCTCTGGTCCAGAGGTAGTCCAAGATTGCTCTGATGTTTGACCACCTTTTTTCAGGATTTCCTAGGGCTGTACACGTCCCACTGCACCAGCAAGTCCTAAAACCGCTGTCAGATGTCAGAGCAATTTTGGACTAGTCTTGTGGATGATCTTCATATAATAGAAATAAGAAGATGTGGTATGAGTTCCTATGAGACAACTCTCCATCCAAGTTACAATGTGTAAAAAGTAAACAATTATAGGTCAAAGTACGGCCTTCAACACAGAGCCTTGGCTCACACCAAACAGCAAAGGGTAAAGGGCCCCAAAATGACTAATGTAAAACAATTCAAACATGAAAACCAATGGTCTAATCTATATATAAGGCTTCTCTGTATATCATGAAAGTTTCTATGACATACCATTGTATAAGAAATGATTTGATATTGACAAACAGAAAGATAAGGTCCTTAAATGTTACTTTTGATACATTAAAATTTTTAACTTCCTCTTTATCTGAAATATCGTAGGCGTAATTTTTAAAGAAGTTGCACAGCATAGGTTAGTGGAATGTATCAAGTATTTAGGAACAGGAAATAAAAAAAGATATCCTCAATAAATCTATTGAGATGTAAATTGAATGAAAAGCTATTCATTGACTTATTTTTTTGAGATTTATATTGTACAAATATGGTGCCATTTATTTTTTCTTTTGAATGCTGCTTCGAAAGTCTGAATAACTAATTATAGAATAAAATGTTCATGGCCAGCAACTGTGTCTTAAGATTAAAAGGTAAATAGATTTATATACCAGTAATATCATGTTAGACGTATTGACATTATTTACTATTTTTGTCTGTAGAAAGCTAATGACTGAAATTAATTTCAACATGGCTGCAGGCATAAAAACAGATACAAATGTATTAAGAGTGAACATGGTGAATTTTATCGTGTTAACATGTTTATTTGTATAGTTTTGTGTAATAAGTAAGAAAATTGTAAGTCTTATTCAGTTCATAAACAGGTAAATTCCTTGAAAATTATTAGTTTGTTAAAAATATTTACTTGTGAAATTATTTAATATGTTGAACATCATGTTTTTTTTTTACATCCTGAAGAATTTTTTTGGTTATTAATCATTACACATGTAAATTTAATTCCATATTTAATTGATTTATATCAGTCTATATATCATCAAATATCCTGTTTTTGTTTCTCCTTTTTTGGCAATAAATATTTTTATTTTATCTTCATAGATTTACCATTGTTTATTTTGAAATGGAACGATAGCTAAATGTGACTTCTTTACGTGACAGTGAGTGGTATAATCTATAGAGTTTTGGTTTAAGGGGACTTGAATCCAATTAATTTTATCACGATGAAAGATAAATTATATTGTGTAGAAAGACAAATATTTCAGCATGAGAAATGGCCTTGGTCGGTGTCAGTCTTTGTTAATTTATTTCATTAGATGAGGTGTGAGTTTTTTCTCCCATCTTACAGACCTCACTGTGACTTTCAAATGAAGAACAGCAATAAATGGGCTGAAACTTTGTGTTGACTTTTTATCAACTGACAGGGTTTGAAATTAGCAGTGGCCCACTCGCCAATGGCCCCTAAAATTTGGTGTGGGCTACTTAAATTTCTGTCTTTCTTGTATAGGACTATATATGTGGGCTACAAAATTTAAGCTGTGGGCTACCATTGCCAAAGTCTTAAGTTCAATCCCTGTAAGTCTGTATGTAGGAATTTAATGCCATGAATGTAACACACAATTCCATAGTTTCCAAAGCTGCCATATTTGCTGGTCAAACTTGGACAATACCTCACTTTTTCCATTACTGTGGATTCATTGATATTTGTGGGATACCCATTTTCGTAGATTTCGTTGGTACAGGTAAACCACAAAGGAGTAGGTCCGGTAAGGGCAGATTATGGCCTCAAAATTCAGGTTCATCTGAAGAAAGATTTTGGACACTTTTTAAACACTCAAGTGTCTAATTCAGTCGATTCAATTAGTTTATGTGAAAGATTTGAACTGATTTAGTCATTAAAGACGCTCAAATTCAAGCTTAAATATGAAAAATCTATCAAATATGCCATAATATGTCACTTTTCAGATGGTTTTTGTCAAAAATGAAAGTGGCCACATCCGTGTTCATTCTCATCCTTCATATATGTTATGTATTATCATCAAATACAACTTGCATTTAAATATTAAGAATGAACACAAATGCGGCCACTTCCATTTCAAACTGAATCCGTCTAAAAATTAACCAAAATGCTAAAATTTCGAAGATTTCAGTAATTTAGCATGACTTAATGATGCTAGTACCCAATGCATGTGCATTGGATTGTCAAAAACAGTCCATATTTATGTAACAGAAGTATTCTTCTTTCCAATAAATAGCTAAAAATTTACATTTTAACAATTTTGTAAAACTGCTATATTTTGTGGCCAAAAAAGGGTCTTACTGGGCCTACTCCTTTAAATGTTCAAAAAAGTACACATTTTCTATAGGCTTGTATACAGACTTTGACAAAACCACGAAATCAAATATCCACGTAAATTGATCCCAATGAAAATATATGAATCCACAGTATGGAGGAATATTGCCAAAAATATATATACTGAAACATGTTGAATTCTTAATTTCAGTGCATTATAGACGTATTTACCCTTGTATGCAATTTGTCTGCCATTATTTAAAATCACGCAAGTTCCCGTTAAATTTGACGTCATAATTAAAAAGTGATTGTTGCTTGAAGTCAAAAGGTTATTTGGAGCCATTCTAAGGTCTTTCGGAGACAAAATTCAGCTAAATACCAAAAGTGTAAATAAGTTTATTCTGGTATAAGTCAATTAATCCAATGGCAACAGACACAGAAATTTTGACATATGCAGCAATTATATTTTATTTGTGTTGACATACATCATTTGCATATATTGATCCCATTTGAATGGGGAAGTTTTTTTTTGTGGAAAACAGGATTTATATTTCTTGAACTTTTGTATTCCTTGTTGCATATGTATTTGTAAAAGAAGATGGGACAAACATCAGTGAGGCAACAAGACTAGTAAATAAAAAACCCAAAGCATTCTAACTGCATGAACTGGTTACCATGCAATATATGATAAGATTCCATACAAAAAGTCGGGCATACATGTACATGTATGAAATACTTTAAGGGAAGGAAAATAATATTGTAATACTTGCGAACATAAACTCTTGTTATAAACTCCTTTCTAATAAATCGGACAAGGAAAATGTAGAAAAGTTAAATTTATTACCATAATTTTTTGGGGAAAATTTAGTTAAAAATTTTGACATTTTAAACATTATGAAAATAAGCATATGTGGTATGATTGCCAATGACCAAGTTCAAATGAAGTGCATGCAAGCAACTATAGGCAACTGTACAGCCTTCAATAATGAAAAAAACCCATGTTCAGTCGGCTATAAAAGGCCCCGATATGAGAAGTATGAAACAATTCAATTGAGAAAACTAACGGCTTAATTGAGGTGTGTGCATTTAGGAAATATTTCATAGAATTTTTTCGTCTAACTTATAAGGTTTAAATCCGTATCAATTACCCAATAAATTTAGTACTTTGACAGTTTTATCAAGTTTCATGTACTAAATTTTTTAAATTTTGCATTTTGTGGCAGTTTTGATATGAGGTAAGACGTGTTGTTTTATTTGATTACATTTGTACACTTGGAGAAGATTCAATAAACTTCAAAATGTACTTTAGGTCAGTTAGTACATTTTGCTGTTAAAAAAAAAGGAAAGGTAATTTATTACATCATGATTTCCAGCAAAAAGGTTTCTCTGAATTTGAGGATAATAATGTCATTTCTCATAGATTTCTAAGTATGATCCCACAAGCTGCTAGCTAAAAGTAATAGCAATGATAATATTATCAACTTTATCTTCAGCATAAATTTTACAACTATTAAACATGATGTCTTGGTTTTTTGTGTCATTTGGTTTCGGTAACATAGACTCATACACCACATATCCTTTTTTCATATAAGTAACATTTTAGCTGTACAGTCCAGGCCAAGATAATCTTTACATATCGATCCTTTATAAGAGGACATCTTGGACAGGATATTCAATGATGATATCTGCTTAGACAGGATATCTTCCAGCTAGCGATGTGGAGTGCCAAATATTTTTCCTTGTTTTGTCCATTCAAGTGATTGCTGGTTCTTATACATATTTTATATTTGTAAGAATTGTATCTATTTCAGATGAAAATTGGTACAAGATGAGTGATGCTGATACAGGCTCAGATGACAGCAAGGACAGCAATACTGTTGGTGTCCCACAATTCCTTGTTGTAAACAATGTACACATGTTGAATGGAGACCACCACCATGTTAATATGTATGAGGAAACGGTGGATGATGGTAAGCATATATATTATAATCAAGATATTCACAGATACTTATAGATTATCGATGGTTTTTCAAACGAGAGAGTGTTTCTCAGCTATAATCTCGTCGAAAGGCGACAGCCCCGAGATGAGATGTGGCCGAGAAACAATCCTAGCGTTAGAAAAACTATTGATAATCTGTTTATCTTTATTTTGCCTATGTCGTCGTTGATGTTTACATTGACAACGTTGTTTGCGTGCATAGTTTCTGACGATAATTTTCTATCTCAAGAGAGTAGCATGATATGAAAAATTATCACAAAAAAAGATCAAAGGAAAAAAACACAAATTAGCGATACTTTATATCCTTAGTGCTTTTAAACTACTGTGGATTCTTTATTAATCGTGGGATACCAAATTTTTAGGATTTAATGGGTATAGGCTAGGTAAACCACGAATTTAAATGTCCAAAAAAGTAAACATTTTTTAAAGGTCTATATGGAGACTTTGGCTCAACCACGAAATCCAAATATCCACACCCTACGAAAAATGGTATCCACAGTACAAACAATAGATGTTAATTGAAATTCAATAAAAGTCCTTACTGGTAGTATGTTCCATGCATCTTGTAATTACTTATATTTGAGTGATGTTTATGCATAGTGCATGTTCAGTTGTCATTGACCTATTTTTCATAGATCGATGACTTACATAGGTCCACGTTTGGTCTTCATGATTAGGACAGTTTCTCATTACAAACAATGACTTACATAGGTCCATGTTAGGTCTTCATGATTAGGACAGTTTCTCATTACAAACAATGACTTACATAGGTCCACGTTTGGTCTTCATGATTAGGACAGTTTCTCATCACAAACAATGACTTACATAGGTCCATGTTAGGTCTTCATGATTAGGACAGTTTCTCATTACAAACAATGACTTACATTACGTAGGTCCATGTTAGGTCTTCATGATTAGGACAGTCTCTCATTACAAACAATGACTTACATAGGTCCATGTTAGGTCTTCATGATTAGGACAGTTTCTCATTACAAACAATGACTTACATAGGTCCATGTTAGGTCTTCACGATTAGGACAGTTTCTCATTACAAACAATGACTTACATACCGGTAGGTCCATGTTAGGTCTTCATGATTAGGGCAGTTTCTCATTACAAACAATGACTTACATAGGTCCATGTTAGGTCTTCATGATTAGGACAGTTTCTTATTACAAACAATGACTTACATAGGTCCATGTTAGGTCTTCATGATTAGGACAGTTTCTCATTACAAACAATGACTTATATAGGTCCATGTTAGGTCTTCATGATTAGGACAGTTTCTCATTACAAACAATGACTTACATAGGTCCATGTTAGGTCTTCATGATTAGGACAGTTTCTCATTACAAACAATGACTTACATAGGTCCATGTTAGGTCTTCATGATTAGGGCAGTTTTTCATTACAATGACCAATATGTAAACATGTAGCAACTGATTTCATATTTCACTGATTGTCATGAATTGTTTTTGCTTGGATAAAAAAAATTTTTGTAGTCAATTTTATTTTATATTTAGAAGCATGAGTTACAATCATAAAAATCTGAAATGGCAGAACCATTTTGATGTCAGGGGCACTTCGATGAATATTTTATATTAAATATCATCACCATGATATTGCCTTAATTTGTAATCATATCCACTTCAAATTTAAATAAAGGATTTCACTTATCAAAACCTCAGATGAATGTAATATTCAGAAAAATCTGAAATGAGTAACCATTTATTCATGAGATGGGATTTGTAATATTAACCACTATAAGGTCTTGTAGTCAAGATAGGACGTACATTTTTTAGCAGATCCTCGTCTAATTTGTAAGACATGTTAGAAGGTTTCCACTCATCAAATCATCTTATAAATTAGTGACAGTTTTTATAGGAGTTATGGAACTTTGACCATATTTGTTTTACTATTGAAACCCAAAGGCACCTTGTGAATGCAACTCCTCTAACCCTGTTCGAGGAAACATTCTCATACTTGTAAGGATTGTTTTTTATCTTGGATGGTGTATTTTTCTAAGGCTTAGCAATCTTGTAATGATTAAGTCATGTATAAAGCTTAATTTCCATATACTTACAGTTTTTTAGTCCAATCATTCATAATGGATTAATCTTATGATTTTTTTTTATTAGCTGCAGATAGTTTTTGAACTAAATTTATTCACATATCTAATTCCTTGTTGATTTCTTAAACAACATATGTAATTTAGATAATTTGTTTTTACAAATATATATCTTTAATTTCTTGCCATCAATTTAGCAGATTTGCTATTGGCAGATTTTTTTTAATTCAGAAACTAAGAACTAAAACTGACAGGGGTTCAAATTTGCTTTAAATAATTAAAGGTCCAGGACCATTTGAAATTTTAAGTGAAAGGTCCTCCATGAGAAATTAATGGTCATGTATAATGCATCAGTGTAAAGAATGGTAGGTCCTTGACTTTTGTAATTTAAAAAATGAAAAGTCTTCTCCTAGAAAAGACAGGTTCCGGACCTCGGCTCACACTAATTTTAACCCCTGACTGATTTAATTCATTCATACATATAGCATGTATAGTAAGGATTTAATGTTAAGTTATTCTGCTTAGAAAAACCATAGATTTATTCAAACACTTCAAAAAAAAAAAGTGCCATTTTTTTTTATTAAAATATTACAAAGATGTCTTGATTACAATGCCATAGAATACATGTATGCCATGAATCTTACAAAGGTAGACAGACAAACTTCTGGCCTTACATTTATTCCTGATTCCTTAATTAACTCATACACATTTTATAATTTCATATCAAGTACAAGCTCCTTCAATTACTATCCTTTGTTTATTTAGGAAATGAAACCTCTGGTTTTTCTGTTAAATAGACCCTTAAAATTTGGATCTCAGAAAGTTTCTTTCTTTCAAGTTCACATAGTGATTGCTCCTATTTTATTTTTACAGAGGCCAAACCCTACATAGAGATAGTAGAACAACCACAGTCTAGAGGATTTCGTTTTAGATATGAGTGTGAAGGGCCGTCACATGGTGGTCTTCAGGGAGAGAAAAGTGAAAAGTATCGTAAAACATTCCCAGCTATCAAAGTGAGTGTTTGGTATTTTTGTTCTGTAAATTCAGAAATGATTGCATGCATTTATTATTGCTATTGCTAAACAATGGACAAAGCTGCAAGATTATTTTTCAAGAATTCAGGAAATACTGCATACAATGCTTCAAATGTGGTATGGGCTTTGCTCATTGTTGAAGGCCGTATGGTGACCTATAGTTGTTAATTTCTGTGTCATTTGGTCTCTTGTGGAGAGTTGTATCATTGGCAATCATACCACATCTTCTTTTTTTCATATTCAAAGTTGGAGTTTAAAGTCCCCATCTATTACGAAATGTGCTGAAAACAGCATTAAACACATATCAATCAATCAATAATATCAACAGAATTAGATTTTCCATAAATTCCTTCTAAATTCCAATTACTAGGCGACAGAAAAATCTCTTTGATGATACATTTGACCTTGTATGATATAAAATACATACATGGATGTTATAAATGTAGAAATACAAAGGGAAAGTACAGTATTAGACTTTTCTATACATTGTATGTTCCAAGTTATATAAGAATAAGCGTTATCTAACTTCTCAATGAGATCAATGGTCATTAACCAAACCGGGTCAAATTCTATTGTTAATTTAATGACACTTAATCCTTTTTGGTCCATATACATGTTTAAATGGGTTTATGGTAATCTTCTATTTATAGAAAATTAGTATTAAGATTAAAGATCATTTTTATTGGGGATATATAATTCCAAGTCAGGAGACTGTAATTCAGGGGTTGTTGTATGTTGCTGTATATCATTTTTGTTGTTCTATTGTTTTGTACATAAATCAGACCATTAGATTTCTGTCTTGAATTGTTTTACATTTTTCATATCAGGGCCTTTTATAGCTTGCTATGCAGTATGGGTTTTGCTCATTGTTGAAGGCTGTAATTGCCAAACTTCTATGTCATTTGGTCTATGGTGGAGAGTTGTTTCATACCACATCTTCTTATTTTTATAAGCCTGTTAAAGGGATGTATTATGGTATACCGTTTACCGTCTGTCCGTCAGTCCGTCCGTCCCTTGTCAACATGTCGGACATTAATTCAAAAACGCTTTAACCAATATGCATGAAACTTTGGTGAATTGTTTATATCTATTGGCCTGAGCTCCCTTTCATTTTTTATCAATTTCAGATTTACCATTTCCGAGTTTTGGGGTTTTATTCATTAAAAAAGGGGGGATTTTCCAGTTCTTGGACAATAGCTCAAAAACAATTTCACCAATTTGCATGAAACTTTGGTGAATTGTTCATATCTATTGACCTGAGCTCCCTATCGTTTTTTATAAATTTGGGATTTACCGTTTTCGAGTTTTTGGGTTTTATTCATTAAAAAAGGGGGGATTTTCCAGTTTTCAGACAATAGCTCAAAAACAATTTCACTAATTTGCAAGAAACTTTGGTGAATTGTTTATTTCTATCGACATGAGCTTCCTTTTGATTTTTATGAATTTCAGATAATACGTTTTGGATTTATAGGGTTTTATTCATTACCAAAAGGGGGATTTTCCAGTTTTCGGAAAAATAACTCTTCAGCATTTTTGATGAAACTTTGGTAAATTGCTTATATCTATTTTTGTAAGCTCCCTTTTGATTTTTATAAATTTTCGATTTTACGTTTCCAAGTTATAAGATTTTATTTGTTTATAGTCTGACAACAAATTTGCTAAGTATTGCGCAACAGCACAGTGTATTGTACAACAGCAAGAAATCTTTCATATAACCAATTTCAAGTTCTTTGACTACATTTATGCAGAAACCTATAAAATATAAAATATTTAATTACAATCCAAATTCAGACCTGTATTAAGCTTGAATATTGTGTCCATTTTTGCCCCAACTGTTCAGGGTTGGACCTCTGCGGGCGTATCCAGCTGTGCTCAGCAAAGCAGTTTATTATAATGTACCCAATTGATATTTACTACAAGTTGAGATATCTTTGGTAGAGGGATGACTATGTCCATATCTTGACTTATTTTTATGCCCAGGCCGTAGTGGAGGGGCATTAAGTATTACCCTTGTCCATCTGTATGTCCGTCCGTACTTCCCAAAATTAGTTTCCATTCTCTAACTTTAGTTAATGCCTCCACCAAATACTATGAAACTTATACACAATGCTTATTACCACAAAACACAGATCAAGTTTGAATTTGGGTGGCGTCACTTTTACCGTTCTAGATTTACCAAAGTTCCCCTTTACAATTGGAAAAATTGCTGAATTTTTTGTTTCGGTTCTCTAACTTTAGTTTGCCTCAACCAAATATTATGACTCTTATACACAATGCTTATTACCACAAAACACAGATCCAGTTTGAATTTTGGTGGCGTCACTTTTACTGTTCTAGAGTTATGCCCTTTTCAAATGGAAAAATTGCTGAATTTTTCGTTTCCGTTCTCAAACTTTAGTTTGCCTCAACCAAACATTATGAAACTTATACACAACGCTCAGATCAAGTACAAATATGGGTAGCGTCACTTTTACTGTTCTTGAGTTATGTCCACAAGAATAGTTATCATATTAAAAGGCAAAAACATGATGTTAAAGAAAATTCTTGATTTGGTTAATTATAGTATTTATAAATATTTTAATTCTATGAATAAAGTTCAGAATCAACATAAAAACATTCATATCATTTTGCTGAATATTGCATTTTTAATTGATGTCATAGCAGTAAGAATAATTTTTTCAGATAAGAAACTACAATGGTCCAAGTCGTGTAGTGGTTAACTTGGTAACAGATGAACCAGTTCCTAGACCACATGCTCATAAATTGGTTGGAAAAAACTGCAGTGATGGTGTATGTACAGTAGATGTCAAAACTGGACAAAATACTGTCACGTAAGATTTTTATTCAAAAGTCAAAACGAATGAACACTCACGTAAGACTTATGTATCAAAACAAACCCAAAAAAAAACATTATTACATGAATTCTCTTGTAAAACAGACAATGACAGATAAGTGTCATAGAAAACCTTACTGATAAGACGAACCATGATAAAAAAGATACCTCTTAAGAGTCCAAGCAAAATGAAATATTGTGCATTCATTTATTTTCGTGGGTACAAATTATCATGGATTGAGGAAAAATGGTATTTTCGTTAAAAATTTGATTTCATTGTTTTGCCAAAGTCTGCATACAAAACTATAAAAAATTTGAACTTATTCAAAGTTTAAATTTGTTGTACCCTGGAAATCCAAGAAAATTGATATCTAATGAATAATAAGTAATCCACAGTACTATCACATGTGAATTTTTGTTAAGACAAAGCAAGACAGATCACATTATTTTGACTAACTTTAGTTTGCCTCAACCAAATCTTATGAAACTTATACACAATGCTTTTTACCACAAAACACAGATCAAGTTCGAATTTGCTTGGTGTCACTTTTACCTTTCTCGAGTTATGCCACTTTATAGTGTTATATGCAAGCGGGGGCATCATCTATGTCCCATGGACACATTCTCCACTTATTTGTTTTAAAAAACTAAACCAGGACAGAATACTGTTCTAGTGGATTTGTGATAGGTTTTATAGTATAAGTTCAAACAAATTCTGTCTAGTAAGATATTTGTTATGTTTGCATAATTATAAAAGTAAGGTATTGTAACAATGTACTAAATTTTGAAATAACAGTTGTACTAAATTGTACTAAAAAGTGGAAAATAGTGACATGGAACTGTTTCTAGATTGATTTGTTGCATAACAGGGTTGAAAATTAAAAAGACCACTGATAGATAAAAAAAAACTTCAGTCCTAAAATTTTGTAGTCTTGCTAGTACATTATCATTTTAATAACCTGATAATGCATACATGTATATACATGTATAATAATAAGTTCTGAAATTTTGAATTTTTGCTTTACTCTTTAAAGCATTTTAGTATGTTTCCCTTTCAAATAGGTCATTATATGAGCCATATAGAAAGACTGGTGTTACAATACATTTTTCAGAAACTGTTAATTAACTACACTAATATTATTTTGTATCTGAACTAAGGGGCCTCTGTGGCTGAGTGGTCTAAGTAGTTTATCTACTGTATCACTAGCCTGTCAACACTGAGTATGAGTTTGAACTCCCAGAAGTGTAAGGTGCGTTTGACTCCAATCTTAATTGACAAGGATTGCCAGTTTTCCTGCAGAGTGTTGGTGGTTCTCCCTGTTAACCCGGCTTTCTCCACCTATAAAAACTGTCTGTTACAATGTAGCTAATAGTGCTGAAAGTGGCGTTAAACACCAAAAATCATTCAATCTTCAATCAATTATCTAAACTATAATGCTGCATTCCTCAATAATGCTTTTTGGCTGTTTACCAACAAATACGAAATAAATAATTATAGATAACTAATCCAAGAATTCAAATATAGAAAAAATATTCAATGAGTGACCTAACTACACATTAATTCACGAATGCACACAGCGCCTGAGATAATTTTCAGTGTTGTTCGGTCACGAGTTGAATATTTTTTCAAAATTTGAATTCTTCGATTAGTTATTCTTTTTATTACATTGACCTTGGGCTTTTTAATGGAAATAAAGTAAATAATACAAGGAACTATATCTTTTTCTACTCGTTCTCATTTTTTTTTCTACTCGTTCCCATTTCTATTTGATGCAACATCATTAACAATGTCTTAAAAACACCCATTGTTGTATGAAGTCAGCAAAGTGAAATTATCAGGTTTATTTTTCATATATATATAATTCATTATAACCAATATAATAACTAATTAAAATGTGTCTTTTCAGTTTTGCCAATCTCTGTGTACAACATGTGACAAGGAAGAAGTCAGCGGAAGTTATAGAACAAAGAATTATAGAATCTATGAAGATGGATAAAATGGTCAAATTAGGAAACCTCAATGAACAAGCATACTTATCAGGTATACACTTGATCTTCAGTTTTATCAAGTATTGATATTTCTAATACTTACGCCCTGGTTTACATTTATAGACTTATGAGTGCACAAGAATATTCATTTTCTTTTTTTACCTTGCATTAGTTATATAGATTGATTTTGAGCAAGACTATTCTTTTAAACCATATGAAAAATCATACTCAAGTTTTCTCAGTGAACTAGCTCTGAAGCAAGCTCCATTATGGGATGCATTTCTAGTTTCTTTTAACCGCCACAGTGGTCTCAGGGTAGTGTTCTTGAATTGAGTGCTGAAAGTCTTAGGTTCTGTCTGTCGGATCAAACAAGACTCCGAAGGAGTAGGTCCAGTAAGACCCCTTTTTTGGCCCCAAAATATAGCAGTTTTACAAAATTGTTAAAATGTAAACATTTAGCTATTTATTGGAAAGTAAAATACTTCTGTTACATAAATATGGGCTGTTTTTTACCATACAATGCACATATATCGAGTACTAGCATCATTAAGTCATGCTAAATTACTGAAATCTTCACAATTTTAGCATTTGAGTTAAATTTTACACGGTTTCTGTCTTAAATGGAAGTGGCCGCATTTGTGTTCATTCTTAATATTTAAATGTAAGTTGTATTTGATGATAATACATAACATATATAAAGGTTGAGAGTGAACACGGATGCGGCCACTTTCATTTTTGACAAAAAACATCTGAAAAGTGACATATTTTGATAGATTTTTCATACTTAAGCTTGAATTTGAGCGTTTTTAATGACTACATCAGTTCAAATTTTTCACATAAATTAATTGAATCGACTGAAGTAGACACTTAAGTGTTTAAAAAGTGTCAAAAATCTTTCATCAGATGAACCTGAAATTTGAGGCCAAAATCGGCCCTTACCGGACCTTCTCCTTTGGTATTTGCTACTTCCTTGCTAAGCACACAGCATTTAGTAGTAAGAGCAAAAACTGGTTGGCTTTGAATCAGAATAAAATGTCAAGGTAGGGATATATGTCTTTCTGCAGACTGTTGCCTTGTTACCTAGAACTTTGAAATCAGCAACAGTACAAAGTAGGTTTCATATTCATATTGCATTAACATGTTCTTGTCTTGATATACAAATAATATTTGCCACTGGACATTAAATACCATCTTGTTTTCTTGTGTCTTATGTAGTAAAATATAGATCAGTTTATCAAATATTTCACACTATTGCATATTAACCATAGATCAGATGGATAGGCTCTCATGTTTCCATGCCTTATGGCAAAAAAGTCATAATTGAAAACTAGTGTGCAAGTGTAAAAACAAAATTTACTTTTACTCTGTTATGTGTGTCCAAGTTAAACAAAAAATGTTTTATTTGTAGAGGATGAATTGGCACAAGCAAAACAGCAAGCAGAGAAGCAAGCCAAAGATATGCAGTTAAATGTTGTGAAACTTTGTTTCCAGGCTTACCTTAAAGATGGCAATAATTTAATTAGTAAAGTCTTACCGTCAGTTTTATCATCACCAATCTATGATAGCAGTAAGTTCTGTACACTCAAATTAATATACAATATACTTTTCTTCAATTCATGAAAGAGAGTTATATAACATTTGATTAAAAATAAAGGATGCCATATTTATTTTTGGAGAAATTATATAGGGTTCTAAATTTTAAAACATGGATGTTAGGTAATATATATTTGAATTATCTCCCCCTTGAACTAAGCATTTTTTTTTTCTTCAAAATCTCCCCTTACCAAACCACACATTCTTTAATTTTTGAATAAATCTATAGTTCTAGCTTGATTATAGAGCAGTGTTTTCCCGAGAGCATTTATGAATGGTTAATGCATTAATTATGACCCCCATTCTTTTAATTAAGAATTCCTGATTTCTCCATATAAACCCCAATCCTTCATTAAATTTCCAGGGAAAACACTGTTAAGTATTTTAAACTGACAAATAAACAACTCAAAATATTTAAAATGAATGCACAAATATTTGCTCAGTTTAAAAGTATCCATCTACCTCAAATATTTGTCAACAGAATCTAAGATTTCATCGTAAACCCATTTAAATTTCTATGTTTAAATCATTTCAGAGGCACCAGGGGCGAATGTTCTGAAGATCTGTAGAATGGATAAATATGGAGGGTCTTGCAAAGGAGATGAAGAAGTTTTCCTTCTGTGTGAAAAAGTACAGAAAGGTGAGAGAAATAAAAAGAGGTTTTTAAGTAGCCAGATCCATAATACAGTTTGAATTTGATTGAGAAGATACTCTAATTTTTGTGGTTCTTTTTTTTGCATTAGGTCTGCACAAGTAAGATATATTATATTTCAAAGCTTTAATTTAAAATAGAAAGTGAAAGATAAATTTTTAGCCAGCATTGTATAGAGATAGTCTGCCTTGGCTTGTCTTAATTGCCTTGTTGATTATATTGTTGAATGTCGTCTCATTGATGTTTATCCCATAACTACTTTTATTCCTAAAAATTGCTCTTGAAATTTGAAAATTTATGTAAAGGTTGTCTCCCCTTTTGGGCTATATTTAATAGTTTGTAAACAAAGAAATTTTCTTCAAATATTTTACAACAAATATTTTCATGAGAAAGAAAATGTTTTGAATTTAGATTCATTTCGAAAGTGTTATATCAATATTAACAATCTTCATGCAAAGCAAAATTTGCAGAATATTTGTACTAAGTTGAACACTTAAATTCTAGTACACTTTTACCCTCGAAATCCACAAAAAGAAGTACCCCATAAATAAAAATGAATTCACAGAAAGCAAAATAGGTTCAGCGACTTGTGACAATTGGATATCACTTGATATCAACTCTCATAACTTAATTTCACTAATAATAAAAAAACTCGCCAAAGACTTGTTTATTATTATGTTGAAATTAAATAACATGTGATATCCAATTCTCACTAGTTAAGAAACCCATGAATATCAGCTAAATTGTTTAATACACAAACTGACAAAGCTTTTTGACAGTCATAAAATTAAATTTTTTTTAGGGTGACATTGTAAGTTTTTTAAATTTCAGATGACATTAGTGTAAGATTTGTGGAACAAGATGAAGATGGAAATGTTGTATGGGAGGCTTTTGGTAATTTTGGTCCATTTGATGTACATAGACAGGTAAGTAATGGCAATACTATAAAATGTTTTATTTCCAGGATGCAAACTGGATATTGAATTTAATGTAAATGATTCCTTCGTTAGTATTCAGAATGAGAACTTGATGCATTATCCACTAACAAAACAGACATATCTGTAACTAAAAAACCACTACTTTATGCCCCTGCCGTAGCGGAGGGGGCATTAAGTTTTACCCTTGTCCCTCTGTACGTCCGTACGTCTGTCCGTACGTACGTCCCATAATTGGTTTCCGTTCTCTAACTCTAGTTTGCCTCAACCAAATAATATGAAACTTATACACAATGCTAATTACCACAAAACACAGATCAGGTTTGAATATTGGTGGTGTCACTTTTACCTTTCTAGAGTTATGCCCCTTTCCAAATGGAAAAATTGCTAAATTTTTATTTCCATTCTCGAACTTTAGTTTGCCTCAACCAAATGTTATGAAACTACACAATGCTAATAACCACAAAACACAGATCAAGTTCAAATTTTGGTGGCGTTGCTTTCACCGTAGAGTTATGCCCCTTTACAAATAGAAAAATTGCTAAATTTTTCGTTTCCATTCTCTAACTTAAGCTTGCCTCAACTAATTGTTATGAAACGTATACACAAGGCTTATTACCAAAAAACTCAGATCAAGTACAAATTTGGGTAGCGTCACTTTTACAGATCTTGAGTTATGTCCCTTTATAACATTATATGCAAGCGGGGGCATCTTCTTGTCCCATGGACACATTCCCCATTTATTTGTATATGCATTTAATTGTTATGCTTCCCAAAAATTTTGGGAGCATATATTAATCACTTTGTTAGTCTGTGTGTCTGAAAAGAAGGTTTCAGGGATGTAGAAGAAACATATTTATTTTGGGGTCAAAAGTCCAGGTCACTGTTACTAAAAATAGAAAACTTAATTGAGAAAATGGTTTCTGGATGGTAGTTTGTGTATTGCTTGCTTAATTGAAATGAGTCCTGTACAGATGGAAGATATAGGGAAGGGGAAGTAGCCTATTGATTTTTGGGTCATTAGGTCAAAGGGTAAAGGGCACTTATTAAACAAAAATAATTCAGAAAATGGTTTCCAGATGGTTACTTGAGTCTCCCTTGCTTGATTGATATGAAACTTATACAGATGGAGTATAAAGGTAAGAGGGAGAATCCTAATGATTTTAGGGTCAATAGGTCGATGGTGACTCTTACTTAGAATAGAAAAATTTTGTGAAAATAGTTCTGGACAAATAAAGTCTACCAAAAAAAGCTAAAGAAAGTAAAGATAGAGCAACACCATCCTCATCAAAAACAAGGAGTAAACATTTGGTGATAAGTCGCTGATGTTGAGAAAAAGAGAACGGGAATGTGGTTATAACAAGTTGAAAATAGTCAATAAAGGTTATCCAAATCATGATGGCATACATAAAACTTTCCAAAGGATAATTTCAAAGAAACCATGAGGAACCATTAGCAGTAACATTCTATTAAAAATATATAATAAGCAAAATCTTTATTAACTCTTTAAATAATTTCTGTCATTTTTTTCAGTATGCCATAGTGTTTAAGACTCCTGCTTATAAAGATCCAACTATTGATCGGACAGTGAATGTGTTTATTATGTTACAAAGAAAGTCAGATGGAGAGACAAGTGATCCCAAGTCATTTACATACTATCCCCAGAAAGATGGTAAGTTTATAGAACAAGTTTATTATGTTACAAAGAAAGTCAGAGGGAGAGACAAGTGATTCCAAGTCATTTACATACTATCCACAGAAAGATGGTAAGTTTATAGTACAAGTGTTCTTGCCAAGGTAATATTGTAAGAGAAAAGGAGTGATACTGTAAACTTTGAAATTTTCAAATATAAAATATAGAATATAACCCTCTAGCTAAGAGTTAATGCATTAAAATCATGAAAATAACAACCTGTGAAAATATTCATGTTTGTAGTTTGGCGTAAAACCATTTCAGACACTGAACGTACAAATCTCAATTCAAAGGAATAATGCTTTATTTACTTTCTTCATCATAATGCAATGCTGAGGCCTTAAACAAGGAGCAATAGTTCAGAGCACACTGCAAGTTAAAGATTGCCCCTGACATCGGTTTGTGTAAATTTACGCCAAGTATTCGAAGTCGAAGGGGACTTTAGGTCTGTCTGTCTGTCCATCTGTCAGTCCGGCAAATCAGTTTTCCACACTTTTTAGTCCCCTACCGACGAAGTCGAAGTGGACTTTAGGTTTGCACTTCGTCCGTCTGTCTGTCTGTCCGTCTGTCAGTCCGGCAAATCAGTTTTCCACACTTTTTTTCTTCATGCTTGAAGATATTGATTTGATATTTGGTATATTGTTTTATCATGACAAGTTACAGATCAAGTTCAAATTTTGTTCCGGTCTGATAATTTTGTGCAGAGTTATGGTCCTTGGACTTGGAAAATTCACTCAAATATTCAGTTTTCCTCACTTTTTTTCGTCATTCTTGAAGATATTGATTTAATAATTGGTACATTGTTTAATCATGACAAGTTACAGATCAAGTTCGAATTTTGTTCCGGTCTGATGATTTTGTGCAGAGTTATGGTCCTTGGACCTAGAAAATTCACTCAAATAATCAGTTTTCCGCACTTTTTTTCGTCATTCTTGAAGATATTGATTTGATAATTGGTATATAGTTTTATCATGACAAGTTACAGACCAAGTTTGAATTTTGTTTCGGTTTGATGATTTTTTGCTGAGTTATGGTCCTTGGACTTAGAAAATTCACTTAAATTATCAGTTTTCCGCACTTTTTTTTGTCATGCTTGAAGATATTGACTTGATATTTGTTATATAGTTTACACCATGACAAGTTATAGATCAAGTTAGCATTTTGTTCCAGTACAATAAATTTTTAACCGGTAGGGGACTATGTATTGCCATCTAATACTCTCAGAATGCTTGTTTTTTCTGCTCTGTGCATCTGTCAGTTAGTCTCTCAGTCCATCTGTACACTATCAGGTTAAACATTTTTTGGAGGTATTTTGTGGTTAATCAACGTTTAACTTTAGTACATATGTCTATTATGAAGTGAACTGTTTCATATACTGTGGAATCTTTATAATTGTGTGATACTGATTTTTCATGGATTTCGTCTGTATTGGCTAAACACTTATTTAAAAGTTCAACAAAGTATACATTTTCTATAGGCTTGTATGCAGACATTGGCTTAACCACAAAATCAAATATCCGTGAAAGTACATGTTTTCCTCAATTCTTGATAATTGGTTTCAACAAAAATAAATGAATCTACAGTAAAAGCAAAATTATGGTTTTGACCCAGATTTCATGATTCACTGAACAATGAAAGCGTGGCATGGTGTCATATTGACACAATTCTTGTTTACATGGGTTATGATGGGAAAAATTCTTTACCAATTAATGCTTAATGTGGTAGTAAGATTCTTAACTTATGTTAGCTCTTTGGTTCTCCAAAACCAACATTATGGCCTCTACAGTAAATAGTTCTACAATGCACAGACTCCTAAAAGTGCAATGACTCATAAGTGATACCGGTACTTGTTCAGGGTGCCTCTTGATTTCTTTTGAAACTACAAAAGAACATAAAAAGTAGAAAATATACCTAGCAATAAATATTTGTAATACACTGTACATTTGTTACATAAACAAGTTGTGTTTACACTTTCCACCAATATGCTAAACAAAACATGACTTGAATCTTCAAGTTACAATAATAAGGTTGTGGTAGATTCTATGTCCTCCTACACATGTACGCATACAAGTTTCATTCATTGTTGTAATATAGATCAATCTTTTAGTTTTTTCTTTTGAATTGTTTCATTCTTTGTCATACTGGAGCCTTTTATAGCTTAAAATATGGTATGGGTTTTGCTCATTGTTGAAAGTGGTATGTTACCTTTGATTGCTCTCATCCTTGTCATGTGGTCTTCTTTTTTTTCACTTTCTATTTTTCATCGTCTTTACATTGTTGTGTTATTTAGTAGTTTTTTAAGGCTCTAAGTTATCACACATTTGTTGGTTCTTTTTTACTTTTTTTGGAGTGTTTTATTTACATTAAAGTTATATGAAACGTGTTTCTGTTTATTAAAATGTTATATAAATTATTGAACCAATGCATGCATATATATTCTAAACTAAGATCTGTTTGCACCTTTCAACACTTATTACACATCTATAAAGTTTAACAACAAATAATATTTCATTTAGTGATTTTTGGTCTCAAGCTAATTAATATTTATACGACCGCAAAAAAATTTTTGTGGTCGTATATTGGTATGACGTTGTCGTCGTCGTCGTCGTCCGGCGTCGTCGTCGTCCGGCGTCGGCGTAGTCATCGTCCGGCGTCGTCGTCCGAAGACGCATTAGTTTTCGCACTCTAACTTTAGTTTAAGTGAATGGATCTCTATGAAATTTTACCATAAGGTTCAATACCACAAAAGGAAGGTGGGGATTGATTTTGGGGGTTATGGTACCAACAGTTAAGGAATTAGGGGCCAAAAAGGGGCCAAAAATAAGCATTTTCTAGATTCCAGACAATAACTGTGGAACGGTGTATGGATCTCTCTGAAATTATACTACAAGTTTCCATACCACAAAGGGATGGTTAGGATTTGCTTTAGGGGGTTATTGCTCAAACCGTTTAAGAATTAGGGGCAAAAAAGGGGGAAAAACAAGGTTGTCCTCATTAATGGACAAATACTTTAGTACAAAACATAATATAAAGCAGTGTAAGGGAGATAAATCAAATACATCATTGAAATTATCTCCCTTACACTGCTTTTAAATTATGTATAAAGTAATGGTTAATGAACAATTAAGATAATTTAAAACAGTGTAAGGGAGGTAATCCAAATACAACGCTTTGGTTACTTCCCTTACACTGCTTTTAAATTATGTTTAAAGAAATGCATATTTATAAAGGAAGACCAGTATGGCGCATTAGATTTGTAAAATCTTTGACCACATTTATTTATTTGTTTTCCCGAATCCAACCGTGTATTTAGATTTTTAATTTTGGGTCCAGTTTTCAAATTGGTCTACATTAAGGTCCAAAGGGTCCAAAATTAAACTTTGTTTGATTTTAACAAAAATTGAATATATGGGGTTCTTTGATATGCTGAATCTAAACATGTATTTAGATTTTTGATTTTTGGCCCAGTTTTCAAGTTGGTCCAAATTGGGGTCCAAAATTAAACTTTGTTTTATTTCAACAAAAATTGAATATATGGGGTTCTTTGATATGCTGCATCTAGCCATGTATTTAGATTTTTTATTTGTGGACCCCACTATCAAATTGGTTCTTATTGAGGTCAAAAGGGTCCAAAATTAAACTTTGTTTGATTTCATCAAAAATTGAATTATTGGGGTTCTTTGATATGCCAAATCTAACCGTGTATTTAGATTTTTAATTTTGGGTCCCGTTTTTTAAATTGGTCTACATTAAGGTCCAAAGGGTCCAAAATTAAACTTAGTTTGATTTAAAAAAAAATTGAATTCTTGGGGTTCTTTGATATGCTGAATCTAAACATGTGTTTAGATTTTTGATTATGGGCCCAGTTTTCAAGTTGGTCCAAGTTGGGGTCCAAAATTAAACTTTGTTTGATTTCAACAAAAATTGAATATATGGGGTTCTTTGATATGCTGAATCTAAACATGTATTTAGATTTTAGATGTTTGGCCCAGTTTTCAAGTTGGTCCAAATTGGGGTCCAAAATTAAACTTTGTTTGATTTCAACAAAAATTGAATATATGGGGTTCTTTGATATGCTGAATCTTACCATGTATTTAGATTTTTTATTTGTGGGCCCGCTATCAAATTGGTTCATATTGAGGTCAAAAAGGTCCAAAATTAAACTTTGTTTGATTTCATCAAAAATTTAATTATTGGGGTTCTTTGATATGCCAAATCTAACCGTGTATTTAGATTTTTAATTTTGGGTCCCGTTTTTTATACGACCGCAAAAATTGAAAATTTTTTGGTCGTATATTGGTATGACGTCATCGTCGTCGTCCGGCGTCGTCCGAAGACACATTGGTTTTCGCACTCTAACTTTAGTTTAAGTGAATGGATCTCCATGAAATTTTACCATAAGGTTCAATACCACGAAAGGAAGGTTGGGATTGATTTTGGGGGTTATGGTACTACCAACAGTTAAGGAATAAGGGGCCAAAAATAAGCATTTTTGTAACTTCCAGACAATAACTTGTGTGTAAGTGTATGGATCTCTCTGACATTGTACCACAAGGTTCCATATCACAAAGGAAAGGCTGTAATTGATTTTGGGGGTAATTGCCTCAAAATTTTAGGAATTAGGGGCCAAAAAAGGGGCAAAAAACAAGCATTTTTCTAGTTTCATGACAATAACTTGTGTGTAAGTGTTTGGATATTTCTGAAATTGTACTACAAGGTTCCATATCACAAAGGGAAAGCTGGAATTGAGTTTGGGGTAATTGCCCGAAACGTTTAGGAATTGGGGGCCAAAAAGGGGCCAAAAAACAAGCATTTTTCTAGTTTCCAGACAATAACTTGTGTTCAAGTGTATGGATCTCTCTGAAATTGTACTGCAAGGTACCATACCACAAAGGGAAGGCTGGGATTGAGTTTGGGGGTGATGAATCATAAGGGGGTTCAAAAAATTTGGGGGGGGGGATTTTTTTTTTACTTTTTTTTTCTTTTTTTCCTTTTTTTTTTCTTTTAAAATTTTCCATTTTAAGTTGGTTATTTCTGATTAATATTTAAAAGCAAATAATAATGATATGGTAGGAGATACACACCAAACAGGATGTGTAAATTATTATATAATAGGTATTGTGCAATAGCAAGAAATTATCAATTGCACAGTATTGCACAATAGCAAGAAATCTTCAATTGCACAGTATTGCGCAATAGCAAGAAATCTTCTATTGCACAATAGCAAGAAATATCCAATAGCACAATATTGCGCAATAGCAAGAAATTGTCAATTGTACAGTATTGCGCAATAGCAAGAAATATTCAATTGCACAGTATTATGCAAAAGAAGATACTCCGTATAAATTGCTTATTTCTTGATCAATTTCAATGGGGTTTTATTCTTGAATTCTTGGGGTTCTTTAATATGCTGAATCTAACCGTGTATTAAGTTTTTGGATTTTGGGCCCCGTTTTTAAATTGGTCCACATTGAGGTCCAAAGGGTCCAAAATTTAACTTTGTTTGATTTCATCAAAAATTGAATTATTGGGGTACTTTGATATGCCGAATCTAACCGTGTATTTAGATTCTTAATTTTTGGTTCCGTTTTCAAATTGGTCTACATTAAGGTCCAAAGGGTCCAAAATTAAACTTAGTTTGATTTTAACAAAAATTGAATTTTTAGGGTTCTTTGATATGCTGAATCTAAACATGTATTTAGATTTTTGATTATGGGCCCAGTTTTCAAGTTGGTCCAAATCGGGGTCCAAAATTAAACTTAGTTTGATTTCAACAAAAATTGAATATATTGGGTTCTTTGATATGCTGAATTTAACCATGTATTTAGATTTTTGATTTTTGGGCCCCGTTATCAACTTTGTCCATATTAAGGTCAAAAGGGTCCAAAATTAAACTTTGTTTGATTTCATCAAAAATTGAATTCTTGGGGTTCTTTGATATGCTGAATCTAACCATGTATTTAGATTTTGGATATTGGACCATAATAGGTGAATGTCCAATTTAAAATTTTTAAGTTCTTAGACCACATTCATTCTGTGTCAGAAACCTATGCTGTGTCAAATATTTAATCACAATCCAAATTCAGAGCTGTATCAAGCTTGAATGTTGTGTCCATACTTGCGCCAACTGTTCAGGGTTCGACCTCTGCGGTCGTATCAAGCTGCGCCCTGCGGAGCATTTTATTGAGTTTGTTGTCAAAGTTTACTGAATTGAAACATTGATAAACAATAGCTCAGAGCATGTGAAGCATGTGAAAAATAAGTTAATTGATAGAGCCATTATATTTTTTTTTTATATTTTCCATCCGTTCCAATTTGTCAATTAAAATTTTCCGTAACACTTGTTAAAAGAGTTATTGTATTCAATTTGTTCATTTTGCATAAAATTTGTTCTTTTAAAGAATCAGTTATTACTATTGACCTTCTAGTGCACATTCTTTTATCACGGTTTTTTCTTTGCACTTGCACTGTGCGGTAGCCAAAGTTCTAAGGAGAGGGGTCATATTTAATGTCACTGCATACAGGAAAATATCAGGTACACGAGAAGACAATAATTCCATAGTAGTGAATTAACTTATTTAACAAGAAAGTTCACATACAATTGTTTTATAGTGAAACTTAGCCATTGAAGTATATATAACATATTCAACCTTTTTATTTAATTTGAAGTTTTATATGACTTTAATATTCATCTATTTGCTATCTTTTTCATAAATTACATTTATTGTATTTTTTGTAACAACACACATATTATTTAAAATATATTTATGAAAAACCCTTTGGTTTATGAAAGAGTCAAAATATTGGTGAATAAATTAAACACAGAATATCAATTATCGTCCTTCCCTGCACCTATATCACCCTGCTCAGTTGCTACGTAGTTCTTGTATCATGCATTTAGACATGAGGGCTTATCAGCGACGTCACCATGTGTGAGGAGAAATGATCAGTGTTGTTGCAATTAGACAGCAAAATCTATCAAGCTTACTTTCATTAGGACAACCAAGCTTATACTGTCCAATGGAGTGGGGAAACAGAATTGTTATGATAAACAGATGATCAGGTTTTCTTCGTATGTATGTCGTAAAATATCATCAGCTTGCTGTAATGTGAAGCTTTTTAGTTAATTAGCTGTGTTCACTTGTTAAAGCGATTTCATTGTGGCTCATGGCTGATATTTTACAATAACAAAGACTTTCAATGTGCAGAAACCTGATAATCTATACATACCTACCATCAATACTCATTATCTACTGATAATCTATACATACCTACCATCAATACTCATTATCTACTGATAATCTATACATACCTACCATCAATACTCATTATCTACTGATAATCTATACATACCTACCATCAATACTCATTATCTACTGATAATCTATACATACCTACCATCAATACTCATCATCTACTGATAATCTATACATACCTACCATCAATACTCATCATCTACTGATAATCTATACATACCTACCATCAATACTCATCATCTACTGATAATCTATACATACCTACCATCAATACTCATCATCTACTGATAATCTATACATACCTACCATCAATACTCATCATCTACTGATAATCTATACATACCTACCATCAATACTCATCATCTACTGATAATCTATACATACCTACCATCAATACTCATTATCTACTGATAATCTATACATACCTACCATCAATACTCATTATCTACTGATAATCTATACATACCTACCATCAATACTCATTATCTACTGATAATCTATACATACCTACCATCAATACTCATCATCTACTGATATGTATACATACCTACCATCAATACTCATCATCTACTGATAATCTATACATACCTACCATCAATACTCATCATCTACTGATAATCTATACATACCTACCATCAATACTCATCATCTACTGATAATCTATACATACCTACCATCAATACTCATCATCTACTGATAATCTATACATACCTACCATCAATACTCATTATCTACTGATAATCTATACATACCTACCATCAATACTCATCATCTACTGATAATCTATACATACCTACCATCAATACTCATCATCTACTGATAATCTATACATACCTACCATCAATACTCATCATCTACTGATAATCTATACATACCTACCATCAATACTCATCATCTACTGATAATCTATACATACCTACCATCAATACTCATTATCTACTGATAATCTATACATACCTACCATCAATACTCATTATCTACTGATAATCTATACATACCTACCATCAATACTCATTATCTACTGATAATCTATACATACCTACCATCAATACTCATTATCTACTGATAATCTATACATACCTACCATCAATACTCATTATCTACTGATAATCTATACATACCTACCATCAATACTCATCATCTACTGATAATCTATACATACCTACCATCAATACTCATTATCTACTTGTCAGTATTTAAAAAATGTCTTGATTTTGTTTCATTCCAGAAATAGATGAGTTACTCAAGCATAAAAGAAGTAAGAAGATGCCAAGTTATCCTGGCCCAGGGAACTTTGGTGGACCAGGAGGGAACAACTCTAGTAGAAATAACATCAATATTGCTGGAATCCAAGGTAAGCATGATACAAATTTGGATACAGACATCTGGCTGGGGTTTGAATACCATCCCCCATTCATATTCTTTTGTTTTGCAAAAAACCCTACCCATTCATATTTTTCATAGGAAAATCATAACCCATTGATATATATTTCCCAGCTATCAGTTATACAATGACATCTTTAGATGTAAACCACATGGGATCATTCATATTATTAGACAAAAAGATCGGTACACAGTTTTATTTACAATTTAACAGAAGATGAAAATTTATGACTCATTGACATATGAATTTCTACCCATTGGATATTACCTCTGCTAAATTGCATCCCATTGATATATTTGACATTCTAAAAAAGTTACCTCTACCAGCAGCACGTCTGTGTATACCATTTTATAGGAAGAGTCATCCCCCCCCTTTTGCATATTTCAACTTGTAAAGGCTATAAATAAACCAAGTCACATCACTAGGGAGGGGTATAGAAATAAACTTTAAATGAATAGATGTCTGTCTCTGTGTTCTGTCTGTAACACTTTGTGAAGACTTCTCATTTGAGACTGTGAAGACTTCTCATTTGAGACTGTGTGAAGACTTCTCATTTGAGACTGTGTGAAAACTGAGACTGCTAGCCCAAAACCTCTCATACTTGGTAGGATTGTTTGTCATCATGTGTAGTTGAGTATACTTGACTGCCATTGTGATTTCACAATTTTTCAGCGTGTTATTGAACATTTCTGTTGTAATAACTGTGGACTTTTAAAAACAGTAGAACATTTTTTGCATGAAATTTTTTTTTCAAAATGTAGAGTTTAGTTTAGTAGTTTAGATGGCTCAAAAAAAATGTGTATAGTAATCTCGTGAAAGCAACTCCTCTGAGACAGAAAGCTCTCATACTTGGTAGATATACAAATAAGAAGATGTGGTATGATTGCCAATGAGACAACTCTCCAACAGAGACCAAATGACATAGAAATTAACAACTATAGGTCACCGTATGGCCTTCAACAATGAGCAAAATAACCTCGAAATAACAAATGTTAAACAATTTAAATGAGAAACTAAAGGCCTGATTTATGTACAAGACAATGATTGAAAAACAAATATGATTTAAAGCAACAAACGACAACCACTGAACTACAGGCTCCTGACTTTGACAGGGACATGCAGAATGTGGAAGTGTTAAACATGTTTGCCAGCGCCCAACCCTCCACCTAACCTGGGACAGTGGTGTAACAGCACAACATATGAACAACTATAAAAATCAGTTAAAAACTGGTACTTGGTAGGATTGTTTGTTGTTTATTTCTCTTGACCATACTGTATCATCAGTTTAATTTGACAATTTTTACAGTAGTAATTAGACTTTGACCCCTGTTTTTATGTACCTGCCGAGGCGGAGCTGCATTAAGTTTTACCCTTGTTCGTATGTCTGTCTGAACCTCCATTTTGATTTGACTCTTTTTTACAGGAGTTGTTGGACTTTGACTATTTTGGTTCCCCCGCCGTAGTGGAGGGGGCATTAAGTTTTACCCTTGTCCGTCTGTACGCCCGTCTGTACATCCTGAAATTGGTTTCCGTTCTATAACTTTAATTAGCCTCAACCAAATGTTATAAAACTTATACACAATGCTTATTACCAGAAAACACAGATCAAGTTTGAATTTGGGTGGTGTCACTTTTATCTTTCCAGAGTTATGCCCCTTTACAAATGAAAAAATTGCTGAATTTTCGTTTCCGTTCTCTAACTTAAGTTTACCTCAACGAAATGCTTATTACCACAAAACACAGGTAAATGAAATTTGGTGGCTTCACTTTTACCTTTCTAGAGTTATGCCCTTTTACAAATGGAAAAATTGCTGAATTTTTGGTTTCTCTAACTTAAGTTACCTTCAACCAAATGTTATGAAACTTATACACAATGCTCATTACCACAAGACTCAGATCAAGTACAACTTTTGGTAGCGTCACTTTTACCCTTCTTGAGTTATGTCCCTTTATAAGGTTATATGCAAGTGGGGGCATCATATGTGTCCCATGGACACATTCCCCATTTATTTGGAGTATTATGACATTGCTACTCCTCTGACACTGTTTTACAAAAAGCTTTTGTACATGGTAGTATTGTTTGCCATCATGTTTTGATGATCATATTATACTGTCCTTTTAATTTGACTATTTTTATGAAAATTAATGATCTTTTGTTGTTATCTTTTGCTCCTGACTTGGGACAGGGACATGCAGAATGCATTGTTGTTTGTTTTTTGTTGCACTTCTGTGTTCTGTTATTTCGTTGTTTCCCTCGGTTTTAGTTTGTAACCCGGATTTGTTTTCTTTCAATCGATTTATGACTTTTGAACAGCGGTATACTACTGTTGCCTTTATTTACCATTTTTTTAGAGCCTGCAACATTTATATCTCGAAAGCGAGACAAGGCAATCCTAGATTCCGTTGTCGGCTGTGTTGACATGTAGGTTCAGTCTGTGGTTAAAGTTCTTTTAGACATCAATAACTTTGTCAAACCTATATGGAATTTTATTAAATTTGGACAGAAGCTTGTTTTTTTTATATTTATTTTCATTTTTCCATATTTTACTGATATATGAAAATTTTTGACTTAGTTTTTTTTACAGTTATCATTCAGATTTAGTTTGAGGTTAAAGATTTTCAGTCATCAATGACTTTGTCAAACCTTCATGGAATTTTATGAAATTTTGGCAGAAGCTTGTTTATGACCAAAAGGCAGTATCCAGAGCAAAATTTTGAAAATATTTTTTTTCATTGTCCATATTTTACTGATAAATGGACTTACATGTAGTTTTTTTTACAGTTAACATTCAGGCTCAGTCTGAGGTTTAAGGTTTTCAGTCATCAATAACTTTGTCAAACTTTCTTGGAATTTTATTAAATTTGGACAAAAGCTAAGTGATGACCAAAATACTATATTCAGAGCAAAATTTTGAAAATAATCATTTTTCCTGATTTTAATGATAAATGGACTCAGTTTTTTTACAGTTAGCAATGCAAGTAGATACAGTCTTGGGTTAAAGTTTATTACTATTTGATAATTACTTTGTCAAACCTTCATCGAATTTTATGAAACTTTGGCAGAACTTTTTCATGATTAAGAGACAATGTCTGAAGCAAACTTTTGAAAATATTTTTTTTTCATTTTCAGTATTTTTCTGATAGATGGACTTGGTTTTTTTACAGTCAACATTTATGTAGACAGTCTGGGATTAATTTTTTTTTTGACATGATAAATTTGTAAACCTTCATGGATTGTTATGAAACTTGGACAGAAGCTAATCTTCAAGACCAAGAAATAGCATCTATAGAAAAAGTTTGAATTTTAAAAAAAATTCTGTATTTTACTGAAAAATGGACTCACTTTTTAAGTCAACATTACACTTTTACACTGACAGCAGCAATCGCAGTCGAGACACAGGGTTCCACGGAACCCCTTATCAATTTTTTGACTATCGTACCACAATGACACATTGTGATGGACAGTTTAATTCCTCATTTATACAACATAGGGGATTTTGCTATGGCGTAGTAATCTTGTTAAAAAAGGAAATTCATTTGGTTAGTGGTAATGCTTCAATGCTTTAATATGGAACGTGGGAATTTTAATATAGCACAATATGTTTTGCTCAACAGGAAGTGTGAGATAATACAAATTTTCAATGTGTTATTATTTTTATATTTTATTCTTTCTTTTGAAAACGCATGTACAGTTGAAAACATAATATGCAGATTTTCCGTTTACTAAATGTACTTGTATAAATGTACAAAATTTGAAAACATATTTTCAAAATAATATAACCTCTAATCATTTAAAAAAAACTTTATAAAAAGTTATTCAATAGTAAGAAGAAAAAATGCCTTTATATGATTTTTTGTGTAATACTTTTATTGTTTTCCGAAGCAAATTATGGACCTTACTAGACTGGTATTTGTATAATCAATTTATGTCTTCCAAGGTACCGCATTTTAAATTTAAAAACCCATTTATTTTTCATGCCAGGGCAGGATTATAAGCTATATAATTATTCACTAGATACATCAGACTCATTTATTACAACCCATGATAATTTTTTTATTGATAAATCTTTAAAGTTCCCCACTACGTGAGCTTCAGGTAGTGAAACTTATTCACAAACTTTGATTGGACTGTGTAAATTGTATTAATATTTACTATATCATATTTATGTCTATTTTCCCGTATTGTCAACAGAATTTTAAAGATATTTCCTTAAAATGTAAAATTATATTTGAACAGATATATTTTTGCAGCCGAGTTTTCATATGAAATAAAAATAAACTTAAACATGATTTATAGAAATGATACAATAAAAGAAACCAAAATAAATGTTTCCTCATTTTATTCCTGATTTGTTAAGAATTATTAGAAACTAAGGTTCCAACTCAGAATATTTCCACGTGTTGAACATCACGTACATATCGATTGAAAACACAAAAGTAAATTTTGTTTGAGAATTTGAAATGAAATGATATAATATTTCATAACTGTTACTACTATGCATAAAATAGATCGTAGAACAGTGTAGATATGAAATTTTACGGTTAAGAATAATTTTACTGGTCTTCAAAGGATTTAACACTTTCTTGTATTGTGCATGTTGAACATCGCGATCGTAAACAAAGGTGAAAAATGAAATTGAAACAGATCAGATCTAAAAAATTATTAAAGCCAAGCTCATTATTATGAACAGTGTTCACTTTAGTTTTGCTTGTTTTTATTTAAGACTATAATAATTATAAAGATGCAAACATCAAAGTGATTATTAACTCAATTGTTTAATATAATTAAAATTGATTAATAATAATTAACTGGGAACTAGCTTGTCCAACAAAATGACATCAGTATCACAATGAGTCTGTCAAAGTTAAAGTCCTTTTTCAAAAGGAAACCCGATGACATTGAATCATCAGTAAAAGACCAAGAGTTAATGACCCACTACAGCAAGAATTGATAGACGTAGAAAAAAGTC